GTGGAGACGCAGGTGAGACCCTTTCTGCCCCACAGAGCTACAGTGGGAGAGGAGGGGAGGAAATGCCCCAGGGCATTGCTGCGGCTAACAGTGAAGGTCCTGCTGCCTGCTGCTGTCTGCATCCCCATGAAGTATCGTCCATGCAGTACCCATGATCTGGCCCCCTCTCATTTCAGAAAGCACCAGCAGATGCAGGAATCAGAGTCCAGGAACTCCATCCTGAGCAAAGAAGCTTAGTCCAGGAGAGAGCCAACAGCCCTTGTTTCCTTCCACCACCCTTACAGGGACAAAAACTCTACCTTTCTCTGCTTCAACAAAATTCTGGGCACTGCCAAACGCAAGATCAACATGGGAGGGAAACCTGGGGGACTCCTGACACGTTTCAATTTGCTAAGCAGACAAGGATCCAAGTCTGAGACCTCCTCACTTGTTACACACAATCACCACTTATCTTGTGGCACTGGCCTATGCACCCAACGGGGATCTTTAGGGCACCCTAATACCCAGTGACAATTTCTCCAAGTTCTGGTACAATAACACATTTATCAGTAGGTGGTGAGCTGTGGCCTTCTGCTGTCACTTTCTAGTATTTTTTCCTAATAGCTGCCTTTATTAACCATATTCCAGAAATACTTGTGCTGAGACTGAACTGTTCCACACAGACTAACAGCATCTGGCCACAAATGGTTTTTCAAAGTGCTGAGTAACACTGAAACTTTGATGTAATCTGTGGGAGCTGCAGAAGTGTATAAAATGAAATTAAAACATTCACGGTTTTGCTAAGAACAGGTGCCTTTCCTCAGTATTTGGGTGGGCTTGGGGAGGTTCTGACCAGTTGAAAATGGAAGCAGAATAATTGGTGCTAATTGCAGGAAACACCAAAGGAGAAAAAAGAGTAAATGTGTGTTTGTGCTTATACAAACACATTCTTACATATTTAATGGAAATAACCAACCATACACATGAGGGAAAAGTGCCCTCAAGCCTCTCAATGAGAAAAAGAAAGCCAGTCTCCCATTGGAGACAGCAGAGTTCAGACAGGCATAGGAAGAACTTAGTTTGTGCTCCAAATCAACCACACACTTGAATGTGCAGCTTCAAAAGGTTTGGTTTCACAGGACAAATTCCTGGCAAAGTTTCACAGGAAAAATCTCCCGCAGCCATGTGGAGCCAACTATCAGCTGAGTCAGAAGAAACCCGTCTGGGGACCCTACAGTAACACACACACAAACACCCAGAATGGGGAAGGTGTCTGCAAGTGTTCATTCGCAGCTCCCAAGAGACCCAACAATAACACACACACAAATGCTCAGGTGTTTCGAGAGGTCTCCAGGTGTTTCAGCCCAGTCCAGCGGGTGCTGGTGCGCACACAGGCAGTGCAGCCCTGCCCACCCCACTCCAACTCACCCGGGCACAGGTCTGGTCTTGGGGGGAGTTACAGCACTCCCCTGAGAGTACTGCAAGGACCAATGTTACCTGCAGGGTCTGTGAGGAGCAGTGGTCACATGGGGGAGAACTGCAAAGTCCTGCTGTCACCTGAAGGAGGACAGTAAGGACCAGTGGTCACCTGGAAGGACTGTGAGAACCAGTGTCACCTGAGGGGACCATGGGGACCAATGGTAACCGGGGAGGTGACTAAGGACCAACAGTCAGCTTAGGGGACTGTGAAGACCAATGGTCTGTGCAGAAAAACAGCTCCCTGCCCCTCATGGTCATTTGGTGCTTAAAGGAAGTCACAATATGAAGGGGAAAGAAGTGGAGACCTCTGGTACAGCAAGTAAGAAAGTGCAAAAACACAACAAAAACATGAGGACAAGTGCATTCAATAAAGATAAGGAAGAGCCAAAGCAGAACTCCTGGTCCACTGCAACAGTGGGAGGCATCTGGAGAAAATTCAGAGGGAGTGAACACATGAGCACCTACAAAGCCAGGTACCTTCTCCTGCCCTCTTAGCTACACAAGTGACCTTACTTGCACCCATACATGACAGAGTCCTGCTAATGGTCTGTCAGCTGCTCAGCAACAACTGACCAACTGACCTTAGGGGGACCATGAGGACAAATGGTCACCACATAGGACTGTGTGGACACATTCCCCTGGCCCTTGCCTCACTGGCCACCCCACATCTGTGCTTTGCCATTCCACCAGCCAAACACTCTTCTCTGACCCCAGCACTGGTGGCCCTGCCAGGAGGGATTTGGACATCGTGGTGGTATGGCCGGACATCCCCTGGGTGATGCCGAAGGGAGCTGCTGGGGAAGTGGGACTGTTGGTGGCATTTCTGGGCCTGCCAGGCCACTGCAGCATCCCTACTTCTCTGTTGTACAGGTCCGTGGAAGGGAAGGGGTTCGGTGTCCTTGTCTCCTCATGTCTGACTCAGTGTCATGGGTTGCTGGAGTTCAGCCCACAGCAGCCCCATATGGGCCTTCCTAGTGTTCCCACCACAGCTTGGAGAGGTCACGGGGTGCCCTGCCACATTGCAGAGGGAACATCTGGGCCATGGTTGTGTTTGGAAGTTTCTGCCCTGGTGAGACTGCATCTGGAATATTGTAAACATAAGGAAGAACTTTTTCACTGTGAGGATGACAGAGCCCTGGACCAGGCTGCCCAGAGAGGTTGTGGAGTCTCCTTCTCTGGAGACATTCAAAACTGCCTGGATGCGTTCCTGTGTGACCTAGGTGATCCTGCTCTGGCAGGGGGCTTGGACTGGATGATCTTTCAAGGTCCCTTCCAACTCCTAACATTCTGCGATTCTGTGATTCTGTGTGAAGTCGTCAGAGCTCCCCACCTGAAACTTCCCCTTGGCTGTGGTTTCAGTTCTGCCTTTGTCCCCAACACGGGCACCCCCAAGAAAGGAGAAGAGAAACTGCGGGGTGATGGGAGGTGCCAGGGGGGCAGCCGGGGAGAAGCAGTTGGAATGAGCCTGGCTCTGGCCACCTCAATGTCCCTCCAGTGCTGGACACTGGTGACAATGGGGACAGAGCAGGGGAATGGCCCCCACCGTTCCTGTTCTCACACCCAGGGGTGCACTTGAGGAGAGGGAGGGGCTTCCCCACCAAAGATGGTGAGAAGGAAATGGGAGTGCCAGGCCGCAACTCAGCCCCAGACCCTCTCCTGGGGTATGGGAGAGTTGGATCTCCGCAGCACTGTTCCCACAGGCATGGGCTGGGTGGAAACTGCTGGTCACCTCCTCCCTGAGGAGCCCCATTCCCAGGGTGAGGAGCAAAGAGGGGGGAACAAAGCAGCCCTTCTCCACTGTGCGAGGCTGAGAGGACAGCAAGCCATCACCACCTCCATCGGAGCTGATGTATCCTACATGAATGGAGGTGGGGTACCATTGGTGGAGAGGAGGAGTCAGGGGAACCCAGCTCTGATCCTCAAGCAACCATTTTCTCCTAGTGCCACTTCCTGTGCCTCCCGTTCCCTGCCCTCTCCTCCTGGCTGAGCTCTCCTCAGCCCCAGCCTGTTGCGGCACTTCATGCTCAAGACTTTATTTCAGCTTTCCTCCCTCCCACATGTCCCCAGCCCCCAGCTGCAACACATCTGCACCAGTCCCATTGGTGGAGAGCCTCTCTCGTGTCTGCTGGGCTGGGTTGAAGCATGGGACCGCACGGGTGCTTCCCCCTCCTCCTGCCGTCACTGCTGCTGCTGCTGCTGCTGCTTCAGCCTTGCCATGTGCACCATGCAGCCCCCTCACCTCCTCCTCTTCCTCTTTCTCCCCAGGATGTGGGCAGATCCAGAGGGTAAGTGGGATTTCCTGGCTCACCCCAACCTCTCACTCCCCTTGTCAGAGGACCCCACAGTTTCTTCAGGGTAGGCACAGCCACACCACTGTCCCCTGCATGAGCGGAAGATTCTCAGCGCCAAAGGGCCAACCCCCACCACACAGCACCCAAAGGTGCCCTGTCCCTGCCCACGCTCTCTGTTTCTGCCTCCAGCTCAGGGCTTCATGCCCCACTGGCTCCAGTACAAGGGCTTGGGCACCCAAGCAGAAGTGGGGCCAGGGGTCCCCAGCCAGGATTTGGGTGTTGCGGTTCCCTCAGATGTACCTTTCTCCTGCAAGGAGCCCATGGGCACCAAGGGAGGTCTCAGCTCCACATGGTGCTGTAGGCCCCTTCCACCAGCCCATTGTTTGTTGGCAAGCTGCACCTGTGAGAGGGTGTTCTGGGTGCTGCTGTCACACAGAGCTTTTCACCACATCCCCGTGAGACCTCAAGTTTCCGGAGGAGCAGCAGCAGATATCAGAACACAGGAGTGATCTCTGGGCTGGGCTACTATCCTGCCCCTGTCAGGGTTTAGTCTCCTTGAGCTCCCAATGGCCAGGAGCCCCCAGATGTCGACAAAATGCTCTTTCTCTTCCTTCGTCCTCCACGTCTTCTGCACCATGTACAGGTCTCTGGCAGACCCAGGTCCTGGTACAGGTGCTTCTTCTGGGGAAGCATTGCCCCAAACAAGTGCTGAGCTGCCCCCCACCATACACTTCACACAGCCAGACAGCAGGTGCTGGGCACGAGGGAGGCAGGGAAGGGATGAAGTGCCTGAAATTCAGTGTGAGAGAGAAATACCCTGTTGAAAGTAAAATAGAGAAGGAAAAAGAACTGCAGGGGGGAAGGAAGTGCAGTCAGGCAAGCAACCCTGAGTGGGCAAGGAGGTCGGTGTCCAGCAAAGACATGGCTGTGGGATTGCCCAGCCAGGGCCAGGTGCAGGCGGCTGGGTATCCCCATGGTGTGGAGTGAAAACCATAGAGTCCTAGAATAGTTTGGGTTGGAAGGAATATTTAATGGACATCTAGTCCAACCCTCCTGCCATCAGCAGGGACATCTTCAACTGGTTCAGATGGCTCAGAGATCCATCAAGCCAGACATTAAATGTTTCCAGGGGTGAGGCCTCCATGACCTCTCTGGGGAACCCATGCCAGTGTTTCACCACCCTCAGTGTAAAAAAATTATTGCTTCTATCTTGTCTGAATCTCCTGTTTCCTCTCAAGTTCCCCCCACTCATCTCCTCTTTCCCGCGGTCCTTCCCATCCCTATCCTCTTTCCCAGCAGAGCCACAGGTTCTCCAGCTGCTCCTAACCAGCCTCTTCCCCAACATCAGCTCTGCTGAGGTGTCTGGCTTGGGTCTCCTAGGAGAAGTGCCCATCTTTGCACTGGATCCTGCTGACTGGAGCACCCACTTCCACTGGCCCTGGGCCCAGCAGGCCCTATCCCAGGGTGATGGGGAGAGGATCAAGTCCCAGGCCAAACTTTTTCTGCGCTATATGGTCCAATACGTGCACAAAATGGCCCAGCAGGTGCAACAGGACTGTGAGTACGGGGACAATCCCAGCCAGAGGCCCAGTCCCTTTCCCCGGGTTTTGGCTGTACACGCCTCCCCTGCAGGGTGGCATTTGTGGGGTCTCATAGGGTGCAACAGCTCCTAAAAGGGTTATGGGGAGCACTGAGGCTGACGGGGCACATGGCACAGGGAGGGTGCACTGAAAACACCCCTCAGGGCTCCTGCCATCTGGCACTGGGAGAGCGCCTCTGCACTCTGGGGAGCTGCCACCAAATTTAACAGAGCTGCAGGACCCACACAGCACAGATCAGAGAAAGAGAAAGTTGAGGGCAAATATTTTGGGGGACAACATTCTGTCTGAGTAACCACCCTGTGTTAACTAGTCCCGTATCCACTCCTGCCTTCCAAGGGGACTGAGGGCTTGCAGGGTGTCCGAGGGATTCCTGAAATATGGAACTCATTGCACCCATTGCACTCCTCCATGTGTCTCCAGTCACATCCCACCTAGTGCCACCAATGTCCCACAAACTCGTGGGACCTCTCCAACCTTTCTAACCTTGGCAGACCCGTTGGTGATCCAGATTCGTGCAGGCTGTGCGCTGCACCTCAATAGGACAAGATGGAGTTTCATGGATGTCGGGGAGGGCGGCAGCAACTTCATAACTTTCAAGGTGGAGAGGCAGTACTGGGAGACCCAGAAGACATCCCCACTAGCAGAGGTGGTCAGCAAGTCCCTCAACAGCAAGAAGGCCATCACAGAGCTCTTGGATCACCTCCTCATCAACTTCTGCCAGAGCGAGATCCTCATCCTGCGCAGATACGGGAGGACAGCTCTGGAGAGACAAGGTGAGATCATCCCAACCCTGGCACAGCCACCCCAAAGGCCCCCACACACTGGGGTCAAGCAGTGACCCACCAGACACTGCCCCTACCCCTTGGCTCTTGCCCCCAGAGCCACCCGTGGCCACGGTCTTCGCCCGCACACCCAGCCCAGCCCAGCTCCTGCTGGTTTGCCGTGTCACCGGCTTCTACCCACAGCCCATCAGCGTGGCCTGGCTGCGGGATGGCCAGGAGGTGCCACCGGGCCCGGTGCTCAACACCAGCGCTGTTCTGCCCAACGCTGACCTCACCTACCAGCTCCGCAGCATCCTGGCCGTGGCACCTGATGATGGGCACAGCTACGCCTGCCGTGTGCGCCACCGCAGCCTGGGCACCCGCAGCCTCCTCATCCCGTGGGGTAGGTGGCACCCATAGGGATGGGACACAGGGTACAAGTAGCACCCATTGGCCCTGCGTGGGGAAGTCCTGCCTGGTGCTGCCACACTCACACAGCCATCCTCCTCTCTTTCAGTCCCAGAAAACCACAGCACAACTCCAACCATTGGCATCTCCCTCGCAGTGCTGCTCCTTGTAGCCACAGCCTCAGCCGGAGGGGTTTGGTGGTGGAAGCGCAGGTGAGATCTCCTTCCCACCATCTACCCCCTTGTTTATGGGCAAATGAGTCACAACAGAGGGTGCAGCAGCAACAGCTCTGCAGGGATGAACTCCTCGGCCCCAAGTGTGGCTCACAGTGCCTCTCCCTTACAGGAAAGGCGATGAGACCACATGGGCAATCCGGGAAGTCATCATCTGAGGCCTGGCTGCCTGCCCAGCAAGGAGCTCCCTCGCCCCCAGCTCTGCCTGCTCATCTCATCCCCCATCCCTGACCCATCAGCACTGACATGGGTTTGCTCTGGAAAACCACCGCATTAAACAGCTACAAACTTTCCCAGCTGCATGTGGCTCCTGTGGCTCTCACAAGGTCTCTAAAAAACTCCCCAGCATGCTGCAGAGACCCCACACTGTGACCAGGAAGACTCTCCCTTTTCCTGGACACTGGACAATCTCCCCTGACATGTCAGGAGAAGCAATTCCTCCACCAACCTCTCCCATATCTCAGCAGCTCTGTGGCCAGTGTCTGTCCCTGCCACAAGAGCAGTGACGACTTGGGGTCACATCAGCATGGAGCCGCAGAGTAGCATGGGAAATGGAGAAGGCCACAAACCAGGGATAGATGGAGGGATTTGAGATGTTTCACTGGGAAGAGAAGGGGAAAGGAAGACCCAAATGACATGTCCAGTCCCCTGATGCAGGGAGGGGTTTTGAGCAGGTGCACTCCAGTGCTGATCTCACTCTCTGTCCAGGATGGTTTTAGGTCAGGATCTCCTCCACTCCTGACTCCTGCCCCCATACCTGACTTCTGCCCCTGCAAAAGCTGAAGAGATGGAGAGCAGTCATCTTGACAGTATGCCTGACAGCTATGAAAGAGCTGTGTTGAGTCTCTGGGAGACTCTGAGTGACATGCCCAAAGAAGGGTGGTGTAGTGGGTTGACCTTGGCTGGCCACCAAGTGCCCACCAAGCTGCATTATCACTCCCCCTCCTCAACTGTACAAAGGGGAAAAAATACAACAAAAGACTCGTGGATCAAGATAAGGACAGGGAGATCGCTCAGCAACTACCATCAAGGGCAAAACAGACTCAGCTTGGAAAAATTAATTTACTTCACTGTCAATCAAAATCAGAGTAGGATAATGTGCAGTAAGAACAAATCGAAACACACCTTCCTCCCATCCCTCCCTTCTTCCTGGGCTCAACTTCACTCTTGACTTCTCTTCCTCCTCCTCCCAAGCAGCTCAGTGGGATGGGGAATGGGGATTGCTGTCAGCTTACTATGCATTGTTTCTGTCATGCCTTTCTCCTCACCCTGCTCCAGCATGTGGTCCCACCTCCAGGAGACAGGCCTTGACAAACTTCTCCAATGTGACTGCTTCCTATCAGCTGCAGTTCTTCACAAACTGCTCCAGCATGGGTACTTTCCATGGGGCATGGCACTTCAAAAAAGGAGTGCTTCAGGATGGGTCCCCTGTGGGGTCACAAGTCCTGTCAGAAGACTTGCTCTAGCATGGGCTCCTCTCTATAGGGCCACAGGTCCTGCCAGGAGCCTGCTCCATTGCGGGCTTTCCATGGGGTCACATCCTCCTTCCGGCACATTCACCTGCTCTGACATGGGGTCCTCCAGGGGCTGTGGGTGGATATCTGCTCCACTATGTTTTCACCAGGGGCTGCATGGGCACCATCTCTGCTACAATGCCAGGGAGCATCTCCTCTTTCTTCTTCACTTACTTCGGTGTCTCCACAGTTGTTTTTCTCACATATTCTCACTTTCCTCTCACAGATGTTGCCACACAGTAGTTTTTACCCCTTCTTAAATATATTATCACAGAGGCACTATCAACATCGCCAATAAGTTTAGCCTTGGCCAGTGGCAAGTCTGTCTTGGAGCTGACTGGAACTTACTCTGTTTGACATGGGGGCAGCTTCTGGCATCATCACAGAAGCCACCATTGCAGGCCTCCTGCTATCAAAACCTTGCCATGTAAACCCAAAACTCTCTACCAGGGGTCTAAAGAGTAAACCCTGGGGGTTACCACAGGAAGAGGTGGAGGTCACCATGGGCTGGGCTCAGCCTGTAGCTCCTTGGGTGTCAGGGTGCTGCCGCAGCCAGGAGGGATGACTTCACGCTCACATCAAATCCCCTACCAATCACAGCTGCTGGCCAGCCCTCCGCCAGCCACAGCATCGGCCTCTGGGGAACACACCCAGACAGGCCCTCCCCAAAACCTCAGCACCAGCCTCATTGCCTACTGGGGCCGCCTCACAACGGTGACACTGCAGAGCAGCCCTGGGAAGAAACGTGCAGCCACAGCTTCTGTGGCCCCTTCCTGCTTCTGCTACACTTGCTCCTGCATGTTTGCCGCTAGCACTATGCAGCCTCCTTGCCGCCTCCTCTTCTTTCTCCTCTTCCTCCCTGGGATGTGGGCAGATCCAGAGGGTAAGTGGGATCCCTGGCTCACCCCCACCTGCTCCCATCCTTGTGCTGTGGGACCCCTCGGAGATCACAGAGAGTGGGCACAGACAGGCCACTGTCCTCATCACCAAGGGGCCACCCCCCACCCTTCAGCACCCAAAGGTGACCCATGCCTGTCCACCTGCTCAGGGTTCCCTGCAGGGTGGTGTGGGTCCAGCCCAGCCCAGCACCACTGGTGCTGAGATTCAGGCACCTAAGCAGCCAAGGGGTGAAGCAGCCAAGGAGCCCCTCAGCCAGGGCTGGGGTGCCCCCAAAGAAGCCTTCCTCCTGCAGGGAGCCTGCAGGGGTTCCCAGCCCCTCACAGCACAACAGCCCTGTACTGGGCTCCAACTCCATGAGCAGGTCCTAGGCACCACCCTCAGCCTGTGGGATCATTTGTCCTGCATTTGAAGGATCCCTGGATCCTCTGCCTTCTGCCCTGCAAAACATCACTCAAATGTTCCTCCTACAGCTACAACGAGCCCTCACCTGCATCCCCAGCCTGTGTGTTCCACTCCGGGAGCAGGCGCTCACTATGCCCTGGTCAAGGGGGCACCCATTGCTCCTAAACAGGCTTCACTCTGCCCTGCTTACTACTGGAGCCTCCTTTAGTGCTACATCCTCAAACTCAGTCTCCTGCATCATGTTAGGGTTTGGTCTTGAGGACTGCCCAGGAGCTCCTAAACTGGGGTGAAATGACCCTCCCACCCAGCTCCCCAGCCCCTGCACTGTGTGCACATCTCCAGTGCATCCAGGTCTGGTACAGGTACTCCCTGGTGCAGGAAGCATCACCTCAAATCAGCACCACAGTCCCTGTGCCATCCCTTCCATACCGCTAAGTGACAGTTCCTAGAAAGTCACATTGGGGTGGTGGATGGAAGAAGAAAGGTATCTAGAGGAGAAGCAGGGAAAGGCTCAGAGCGGCTTGGAGAGAGTGTGGAAGGAAACTGCAAAATGAGTGAAACCAGGGGATTTCCCCCACCCTGCTCATCTGCCTCATCTCACCCTGCCTGTCCCCAGGGACACTGCAAGCCACCCTTCCTCCTAAGGCCACTCACCAGCACTGGAACTGGCAGTGCCTGTCCTTTTCCTTCATCATAATGCACCCCAATGCTGCTTCCTCTCCTCTCTCTCCCCACAGGTTCTTGTAAACTCCACCTTTTCAGTGCCTTTGTCCTCTACAACACCAGCTTTGCTGATGTTTTGGCCTGGGCCACCCTGGAGGACATCGTCATTGCTACCCTGCAGAAAGATACCTGGAACATCCTCTACCTCCAGCCATGGGTCTACCCAGCCCTGCCAGTAGCAGAGTGGAATTACCTGCAAAACCTGTTCAGGGTCTACGTAAACAACTTCATCTTGTACCTGTCCGTTGATGCCAGGCAGTACCTGACACCCTGTGAGTACCTGGTGCTCAGCACCTTCTCACCCAAATCAAGAGCTGTAAGAAAGAACTCAGAGCCACCACCAACAGCTTTCCCAAACTGGGGCTGGCAGAAGGGCAGGGAATGGCCTTCATCCTGCACCAGCAAGACATCCAAACCACCCTGTCCTGTGCAGTCATCACATAGGACCATCCTGGTCCCCCGTACAACTTTTGACCACATTTAGCTCCACTTACACCCTCACACCAACTCCCCCTATTGCTCTCTGGGAACCCCAAATCCCATCAGAGAAGTCATCTGAGAAAGCAGAGTGGAAGGTCAACAGGGCCTCTCTGCCCATGTTTGTGGGATGGGATATATGGGTCAAGCGCCTGGTCCCACACGCTGGTGCAGCAGTGGTTAACCAAGGGCAGGGTGCTGGACAGAATGCCACCGCCCTCCTACTTGCCCACACCCCAAGTGCCATCACTTCCCCAAAGCAGTGCTTCCTGCTTTGCCATGGCTCCCAACCCTGCTGTGGGCAGGGACAGCTTGAGGAAGATGAGCTACAGGGCTTAGGAGAGGTTTCTTACCCGCAGAGTTCTACCTGGTGTAAAGCAGAGGAGGGACTTGAGGGAATAAAGAATCGAATCAAATCAAATAGAATTGAATTGAATAAAACAGACCAGACCAGAACAAACCAGACCAGACCAGACTATTACTGTTGGAAGGAACCTACAGTGACCATGTGGTCCAAGTGTCTGACTACTTCAGGGCTGACCAAAAGCTACAGCATGTTATTCAGGGCATTATCCAATGCCTCTTAAACACTGACAGGCTTGATGCATTGACCATCTTTCTAGAAAGCCAGTTCCAGTGTTTGACCACCCTTTCAGTAAAGAAATGCTTCCTTATGTCCAGTCTGAACCTCCTCTGGCACAGCTCTGAATCATTCCCAGGCGACCTGTGACTGGGAGAGCAGACCAGCACCTCCCTCTCCATGTCCCCTCCTCAGGAAGCTGTAGAGACTGATGAGGTCGCCCTTCAGCCTCCTTTTCTCCAAATGAGTTAAACCCAGAGTCCTCAACCTCAGTGTCACCCAGTATGATCTTCTCCATGACTTTCCCAGGAACTGAGGTTAGACTCAGGTCTGCAGGTTCCTAATCTTCCCTCATGCCCTGCTTGTAAACTGGAATAACACTGGCCAGCTTCCAGTCAGTAGGGACCTCCCCAGACTCCCAAGACCTTTGGTGGATGACTGAGATGTGTCCTGCCATAACTTCCGCTAGCTCTTTCATTACTGAATCCCACCAGGCCCCATGGACTTGTGGACATTCAGCTAATACAATTTCACAATTTTTACCATTTCAGTGTCCACAAAT